GAGAGAGCTCTGTCTGAAGAGTAATGATTTTATGAAGGAGTAATGATATTATGAAGGTGGAGCTCCTCTTCCAAGGCGGGTTCACTAACGATCAGGTATCAGAAGTTTTAGGTGAACGTCTTAGAATATTGGGGATGACTTTTATGGCCGATATCGAGCCATAAAGTGCTAATTTAATCAGAGGATGTCAGGGTCGATACTTATGGGTTTTATTTAGATGACAACATCAAAAACGTCTTGACAGTCATTTTAGACCTTATGTTTTTGAGAAGTAGACACAAATTAAATTTCATGGAAACTGTAAAAGCGCACTAAAAAGAAAATTGAATCACTTCAAAAAAGACTAACTTAAAGGTTTGAAATCCGCATGAGAGAAGCTGAAAACACAGCCAATAACTGGAAACGATCTAAGAGAGACGAGACTCAGTACTTTGTTGAGACTGGGTACAGACTACTGTGGATCTCCTGGGACACGGCTACAAGTGCGAAACAAACTATTCGGCAGAAACAGACCCAACCTATCCCTACCCTAGGTCTCACTCTCACTCTCAGTGAACCACATTCCTATAGTTCCTGTTGATCAGAAACAGATCAAACTAAGACCTGCCCTCTCTAATTCCATTCTAACTAACTAACCACTGAAACACAACACTATTGAAAACTGCACCCCTGAAGATCCCCCAAATTGGACCCTAATTTGTGTTTTGGGGCCACTATATTAGAGTGGGTCCTGCACTAATGCCCACTGTTTGGGGTGGTTTTAGTAGACTGGTCTCTACAGCTGGATTTAGTAGACAGCTGTAGATACACCTGAGCATGTTGACACTCCTACGTGAGGTGCCAGCTGGTCACCCTTCTTCCCAACAGCTTCACTAAATGAACTCTCGGACACGACCCCTGTAAATACCTCACCACCAATTATACGGCCTAATTCTAAACGGAAAATCAGGTCTAATAAGCCCCATTGACGGTTAACACAGATCTAGGTGCAATTTAAGGGCATGATTGAAATCGAATATTGGCTGTCAATTAAGGTGAAACCCAATCAATTTGGGAATCATAACCCGATCTGCCCACTCGAGCAACACGAAACCTCACCACGAAGTTAGCCGCGCTAAAGTATGAAATGAGCGGGTTAGTGGGGAGAGCTGGGTGCATGTTATGATGTAGTGCAGGGACACATCTGCTGCAGCTGCTGCTGAGTAATGAGTGCACCTTGGTCACGTGACCTCCCCCTAGGGGTGCATTTAAGTACGGCCAGCTACCGGCAACTGCAGGGGAGCGATATTTTGGAGGGAAAACCTGCAGTTAATCAACATTTACAGAGCTAAATAGGGGCAGTGCTGAGCTATTAGAGTCGGGAGAGGGACAAGCAAAGGTATTTAGCTCCTATTAATTGGGACAAGCCCCAAGGTTTTCTATAGTAGGGCGAGTATCTAGTAAGGACCCTTTTATATGAGTTGGGTATTATGAATATTGAACAATAGTGTGGGTCTACTAGTTAGAGCCAGTCATAATTGGTGGAGAGGAGGTCGTTAATTGGGTATTTCCAGCTTGCATAGTTAATGAGCAATTTGAATAATTAATGAGGTGATTTGTTATGATGATTAGTTAGACTGTCTGGCACGCTCCGCGGGACGGTAAAAACAATGGTGAATGGTCTCGAATAATCATTGATCAGTGTTTCCATTTGAGAGTAACCGTTGTGGAACGATCTTGAAAGTGGAGCTAGACCAGTTTGCCCGGCGGTGGAGTATTACCACGACAATGGGGGGAGGAGGAGAGGTATAATTGGGATGGTTGGGAAAGGAGCTGGGGTAAATACTGGTCGTTGTATTAACAGGACATAGAAAGTAAATGCGGAACTAATTGAGTAACCGGTGGTTTAGGTCAACTCCGAATGCCGATAATCATTAAAATTGCATAATTAATCAGCAGTAATAACAAATAAGTCTATAACTAGAACTCCGGAAAAGCATTCTCATGACAATAGCTGGATTATAATTAGGGGTATATCTGGGGATCAGGCAAAGGACGTAGATTGGAGTTCTTTGTCAAATCTTATTCTTAGCATACGTAGAAACTTGAAAGCATTTTATTGTTATTCAAATCCTTTTTATTTCTGGTAATGTTTATAGATCGGATTCTTGGAAAGATTTATCAGCAAACATTTTTTCTTCTTGTACAAAAGAAATGGAATTCTATGACCATATTAACATAATCATAATATCAAGTATCAAAAGTCAGGCCCTAACCGACTAATCGGAGCGATGAACTGACGTAAGAGAAAAGAAAACGGCAGCAGCATACACATCAATATTGCAGCTTACTTTGAATTCAGAAAGGTTGCTGGCCATAATAACTGGTCAATTGAATTACGTCCAAAGTAAAATTAGCTTCCCATGAAAAAATAATAAATATAAACGCCAAATAAATAGATAAAACTAAAACATCGTTGTAAACCTTATCAGTTTGAGTAACCTAAATGAACAAAATGGGGCAAGTTCACACACGTCCGTAATCGGAAATAATATTAGCTCTTATCAGTACACACTTTCCTTGATATAACGTGTGACTGGATGATTCTTAAAATAGGCTGCTACACTTCAAACATCAATAAACGGAAAGGAAATGAAGATAAAGGGTCCTTATCTCACATTCATGAGAAAATATTCGGATAAATAAACAGAAAATAAAGATCTAAATGTAAGAGCATTTGAGTCAATGCATAAAGAAAGTGGGGCTGGCCTTTCATCTCCACTTAACGACCCCAAATCCCTAAGTCAAAAGGACGTATGTCAGTCATCAGTGTCACCCCGATCAGCTTTTGTCAGACATATCTTGACAGGCTCGAGTTAATCGAGATACGGGATAGGTGTTAAACTATCAGACCCTAGCCGAAACAAGTTACCCTGGATACGACTAGCGTCTATGCCCTGACAGGGAAGAGGTTTAACAAGATGACCTGGCCTCCCCCGCGACAGCAGAACACTCCGAAAAGCAATTTGTCAGACACCCCGGCAAGTACAAACTCCCCGGTCAACAGACCCCCTCCAAAGCTGCTGACTTCGTCATGATGGAGAACAGCCAATGAGGAGGGGGGAAATGCAGAGCTGGCCAATGGGAGAGCGGGAAAACGGCCACGGGACCTGTTAAAATATGATGAGATAATCAGATAACAGATGAGGGGAAATGTTAAAAGTTCTGTTGAAAGTTCTCACTTAGAACTGAGTGAGTAGGTCAAGGAGGCTCTCTAACCGTGAGAATCATAACGCAAAAACATCCGCTCAAGTAGCGTTAAGTTCCAGCCAATCAGAGAGCAGGATGCTGCTGATTGACCAATGAGGGAGCTCTGGTGGGGTCACGTGGTCCGGGGAGAGCTGTTGATGGCATGCCAAGTACTGATAAAACAGTGGTTTTATCAGTTAACAATGTCACATACTGAACAGATGCTTACTTGTAAAAGTCAACAGAGTGTTACAAAGGCAGCTGTTCAAGTGCAAGCTTCCAGCATCTGATCAGGTCCTAAACAAACAATCTCTCACACCTGGTAACGAAATTCTCGTTAGCAAGGCAATCACAGCCGCTAGTTTGCATGATTTTACCAGTACAACTACTGTTGATGACAGTTTGCGGGGTAAAGGCCAAAGATAGCCGAGTGCAGACATTTCCCATTTCCAGACACAACTTCGGTCAACTCTGGTGTTTCACACGTTTCCTTTTCTCGACTCAATTCGACTTTTTAAAATCGAAAACTTTAAACCCCGTGCTGGTCCGAATATATCGGAACGGCATAAAGTAAAGCAATGTGTAACAGTCTGAAATAGAATAAATCATTGAAAGCTTTAAGTTTACCACCACCGTCAAATAAACTCCCAAAAACCTTGAATCCAAGTATTTTAAAAGCGCAGTCCGTACATAATGGACTCTACTATCCCATGAGTGGGGATAGTTAACACCTTCTCATTAACTAGCTGCTTGCTCAAAAGAGAGCTTGGATCGATTATACCAAATCTAACTCACTCCATTGAGCAGCTTGGTAAAAGAGTCCCCAGGGCTATAGAGGAACTGTAAATATTATAAAGGAGCTGTAAAGCTGTCACTTTACCGTTACCCCATTAGTGGGGAGCCAGTGCAGCGAGATATTTAAATACTGTCCTTTCTCTCTGCAACCACGCAGTGGCGATATTAATAACTCAGTTAATAACTGTATTCAGGACCAGCAACAAGCTCAGGTTTTTGACGAAGTGATTGTGATTGGTTGCTGAGAGACACGTCTTTAGAGAAATGGGTTGCCAGGTAACCTCTGATTGGGTGACCTGGTGACTGGTATCAAGCTAGGCTAGAGTAGAGAGTTAGTAACTAAATTGTAGATGAGAGTTGCCCGGTACTCTCTGCCCCCACCCAGTCCCAGTACTCGCCCCTCTCTCTCTCTCTCTCTCTCTCTCTCTCTCTCTCAAGGTGTGATCTGAAACAAGAGACGGTGTGGTGGTTGTAAAGATTACCATGGTAATGGGGTCAAGGTGGTCTTCCTCAACTGTCAGTATTCTAGTGATGCCAAGCATCCTAGAGGAGTGGAGCAAATACAGGGAAAATAGCAATGTCGCATGACATTGAAATCAGTCCTTGTGCATGGTGTTTTGAAAGGCTTGTACCAAACTAATATTTTTGTGAATTAAAGCTAATTCTGTGAGAATTTCCTGGTAGTGTTGAGGTAAAATAGAATTTGGTGGGTCGACACAGTTCTGTTATTAATTCCCTTAATTGAGTACCGAGAACAAAACTGCAGAACTGAATGAATTAAGTGAGCTTCAAGAACGGTCTATCGGTAATAATACATAATATTCATAAGGGATATACTGCGATGAAGATGAATCAAAAGCTTCAATTTTAATAATCATTGAGCGAAAATATTTTGTTTGTTACAATGATCAACTAATTTACAGTAAACAAATAGCTTTTCTCCGCACTAGTGAGTGAATCGAATAAAAACGATCATATTCCGAGAGCCAAATCATGGTCAATCGTAATAACTTATATGGAATATAACAAAAATTACGATCAAAACAGCAAGATTTGTAAGACGACTAGACTATGACTGAAGATAGCATGAAATTAACGCCAAAACATTTTATGTCCAGCATAAATATTGATTTCTCATTCTGATTCAAAAGTTTCTCTACTAAAACATAAAAAAGAAGGGAGAAAATGTCATAAATTATACAAATGACTTATAAAATTTCCCTCTTTCCGGCCAATTATCCAACTAATTATTTAATTAGGCTAGGTTAGCCTCCTTGAGAGCAGCTTTGAGGTTTTCAGCGACTTTCTCCAAAAACTCGAAGGTGTTCAGGTAGTCAGATCTCGTAATACTGAGGAAGTATTCAATTCAGAAGTTTGTTTTGATGTTTAACAACTTTTCAAAAACTTTTAAAAGTTTAATTTAGTAGTTGTTGAAATTTGACGTCGCATAAGAAAACAAGAAGCCAAGCTGGGACAAATTTCACTGGGAAACTAAAGCCTAATAAAACGTAATTTATTGATAATTAAAGATAGGAGAGCAACTCACTTTTTAAGCCCCTTGATGCAGATAGCTAGATCCTTGGTCATGTTACCAGACTCGATAGTCTCAACACACACTCTCTCTAGAGTCTCAGCGTACAGGACTAGGTCTTTGTTCTCTACAAGAGGGGATTATCAGTGTAATAATAATATTGACTAATAGTATTACTAATAGTAATAATAATACTAATAAATATACTACTAATAGTAATACTATGGTAATAATAATAGTAATACTAATACTATGGTAAGACTGTATATGGTTTGTAGGTTTATAACCTACTAATACCACAACTAGTACTATAGCTATAACTAAGGCGCGCGTCGAGTTGTTTCGCAATTTTCAATTTTCATCGAATTCGACGATCTTCAAAAACTCGTTTTGAACCTATTCTAATGATTTATTTCGATTTTTTCTTTTTAATTGCCATACTTGTACATTATTCTCAAGAAATCACAGCACATGGGAACATATCACTTACCGTCCAGTTTCCCGCGGTGCAGCAGTCCCCTGGTCCAGGCGAATATGGATGCTGAAAAGATAATAGTTAAAACGGCAAAGTTGCACTATTCTGCCGACCAAACAAAGTAATTTTAGTTTTACCTGGGGACAACAGGATACAATGTTCATAAACATAGAGATTCGGCTTGTAGCGCGATGCGTTACTGTGCCGCGACGCGCACTCAATTATTATTATGCTTCTCGCTAGATCGGCGAGATTCGCTACTGGGCCTCGCCGAGCTGCGAAGAATTGACATCGTCAATTAAAGATTCGGCGGAATAACAGGCTGAGCGTTACCTGGGGACCCCATGCTATAATGTTCATAAACATAGAGATTCAGCGGAATTATGACAGGCTGAGCGCCGCCCACTCCCAGTACATTTCAGTTTTACTGCTGTGAGTGTGTCTACATACTCTAATATATAAGTTAAAGTATAAATACAATGTGCCGAGCTGAGGTGAACTAACACAAGAAGTTTAAACACTTAAAATTTACAGGGCTGGAGGGGGGTTCTGGTAACATAAAAGTGGTACAATAGTTTGTTAATATCAATGACGATTGTTTTACTCTTTTACAATTAGTATTACAGTTTTAAAAACTTAAACAGGAGTTAGACTTAGTCATAGTGAAGTTAGCTATATTATGTGTTTGTTCAATACAATTTATTTTCAGGGCGTACATCTACGATCTATATTATAGTACATTAACATATTTCAAATTATCAAATGTAAAGTATTGGTGATGTAATTGTAAATTGCCCGCCAGGCCCGTGGATTGTTTTCTGATCGGATATGGTAACAGTAACACTAACATACGGAGGGCGCGGCGCGCCCGATCAGAAATTTGACGAATGAACAGTTTCAATGCATCAACACAATTACATGTCAGTGTGGGATACAAGTGGACTAATGTGGTGATCAGTGACGAAATGTTAAAGATTTTGCCATCAAAATGACATTTTTCCTTCAAAAATTTAAAAATTGCGCTCTCCTGCAATAGTATTAGTATTAATAATACGAGGTCAAAGAATTTGAAATTTAAATTAAAACGAAGTGGAAGTGGAACGGATGAGTCAGATGTTATCGTTATAACTAAGTTGTATACAAAAATAAAACGAGTTCGTTTTGGAAGCGATTGACAGGATATCATTGAGCATAAGTTGGTTAGAAATTCTAAGTTAAAGTATCAACTCTAGGAATTAAATTCTAGAATATTATTAAGTTATTATTGCTGAAAATAAAATCAAACTAAAAACAACCGCAATGATCCTGAAGATACAAAAAATAAAAATTTCAGCTCTCAACCGTACAATTTGCATGACACATAAGTTCATATAAAATAATAGGATATTTGTAGGTTTACAGCTTTTTGGAGGGCGCCCGAGCTGCTTCGCCGCGCAATTCACTCCCAAATATAAATAGACGGGTATCACCATGGTTACTGACCCAGGTCAATATCATTACATATTTCGCATATTAATATACGACATATTTCGAAGGAAAACCACGACATAACAAAATTATTGTTAAATTTTGTTACAAATTAATTTAATTTCAGAAATAGTTGATTACAGAAATCCTTTAAAAAAAATTTTTTCGAAAAAATTTTTTCGAAAAGATTTCTTGAAAAAATTTTGATATTTTCATGACATCCGAAATCTTGACATCATGTCATGATTTACAAATATCTGAGAAAGTTCACGCATATTTTTACCTGTATTTTACAGGCAAAACTTGACATGAAAAACGTCCCCGCATATTTGATAAGATGAGCGCATATTTGACATGGATCTAAATATCTGACGGGGGATATCATATAAAAAATATCCTTGTGTTTGAAAAATTATATCAAAAAAGTTAAAGAATTTTTTAATAAATTTTTGTAGGACTCGCCTGTAGCAGGCTTTGTCCCCCTGGATCGGGCTCTGCCAATTTGGATCATTGTGGGGCCCAAAAATGCCCCATCGGGTGATAAAAACCATGACATATTTCACCCAGATATAATAATATACGACATATTTTTAATGATATTGACCTGGGGTTACTGAGATACGAGAGTCAAGTTAGCTTTGTGTAGGGCTATTTCTCAGTCGTGGCTTGTCCCACCAGAAGAGTGAATCATAGAGGGGGAAAGGTTCTTTCCTCCATTTTTTACCCAACTATTAAAGTCCTTCATTCGAAGAAAGTAAAGAACTGGGTTAAAACTCGCATTAAGTACCACACAGACAATTTTAGCAACCAACCAAGAGTAATAGTTCATGAAAAACTGAGAGAAAATTCCCGGATAACCATACAATATCTGGTTAATAAGGTATACTATAACCATTCCAAACATGGGGAGGTTACATATCAAGAATATGGCAGTGAAGATAGCTACAGTTATGGACGCTTGCCGGAACCTTTGCTTCGATTTTGAACCAGAATTTGGGATAGAGCAAAGTTTAACCATAGTAACGATGAAGCTGAAAAAAGTCACAACTGAAACAACGAGAATGTTGGTAGCTTCCCAAGAGTACTGAACGTAGAAGGGGAGACCTTTCGCTGCCAACTGAAAGCAGTTAGGATTATTCCCGTTATAGAGGTATTTGTAGTCGATCACATCCAGTAGTCCCACAAATGGTTCTATGACTATCAAAAAGCAGTAGAGGAGGGAAGCAAATAGGACCCATCTTTTCCGTATCCGGTAAAGTGGGAAAGCTATCGGGATCGTTCTAGTAACACTGAGTAACATAGCCAGGAATATGCTCACCTGAGTTGAGAGATGTTTAATTAAGTACTTCGGAACATTCAGGCTTAAAATGTAAAGTTTTAAAACATTGCTTTGTATGATAATGGATTTACAAAGCTGTGTGATCTTAGTAAGCGAGCTTACAGGATTAAGTTCCATATCTTACTAGAAAGCATAGCACGCTAGGGTGTACTAACTCTTTGCAAGATAGCAGGCTAGGGTGTACTTACTCTTTGCAAGATAGCAGGCTAGCAACTAGGGTGTACTTACTCTTTGCAAGATTTCGAACACATTTGCCCAAAGTGCACAGAAGACGAAGTTATTGAAAAGTCCTGGGTTTCTTGCAGTGAACATTAGTATCATTATTGGTAGATGAAGGATTCCTGAACATTTCAGATTCATTTTTAATTTTAAAACCTTTGAAAGCAACTAGAAACTGTTAATGAACCTATCATACTTAGAGTTAGGGTCGTTCACATATTACGTAATCACTGAGGGGGGTTTTTAGATAATTACGCTTGTGCAATTTTAACACAATAGCTATGTGTAAAACTGATTACGGAGGGGGGAGGGGTATTTATTGCTTACAAAAACAATATAGATACTAGAATTTATCAAATCGTAGATCCTTATTAACTTCTCACCTGTACATATATCAGCAGAAGCTATGGCTATATACACGAACATGGTAACGTGAGCTTTCTTTTTCTTTTTCAAAATACCAAGAGAGAAGTATCTGAGAGCTACCAGATTTCCCGGAACTCCCACCAGAGTACAGAGAGCTAGCACCACTCCCAAAAACACATCTAATCCTCGCACAGTGGGGTCGTACACCAGCTTCCCCATATCGAATTGTACATGATCATTATACTGTCCTCCTGCCATTATCTGAACCAGCGTTGTGACTAGTTAGCAGATTAATGTATTTAACAGCAAACAAAATGCAACACAAATGATATGATCGCACAACAAAATTGCCTAGTTAAGAAGGAAATGAAACAAATATTGGCTCAATTGCGGTCAAAAACCTTAAAACGATTTCAATTGGCAGATTACATCCGGACTAAGCTGCAATATGTGGTTAAAGTGCTTGCCGTGGGTACGTGGTAACAATCGTCAGCAGCTTAAAAACTACTAGTACTCAACAACAGTTCATCATGCGGGTAATGTGTAGATTTAAACGATATGAACTAATAGAAAAGGCTCAACCCAATGTCGTCGTCGAAACGTTAGAACGTATGACGTTATATTATGAGTATTGAGCATTATAGATGATTACTACGATCCGCTTGTTTTACCAAATACATGTTACAGGAACCATTATACTGTGGACATTGTTTATGAGTATGGGCCATGGGCCTGTTACAACATTATTTACTACATACGTAGAATAACCATCAACTTCACAGGGACGTAGCCAAGATTTTTCTTGGGGGGGGCTGTCCAATCCAGCTGCGCAGCGAGCGAAGCGAGCAAGCTGTTGCAGGGGTCTGGGGGCGCAGCCCCCAGCGGGGTCAGGGGCGGAGCCCCTTGTCGGGGGCTAGGGAGCGCAGCCCCCCGGAAAATTTTTGCGAAATAGGGTGTTTTAGACGACATTTAACATTAAAGAAATTTGTAGGACAGCAATAAACTGGGATTGAAAAGAATCAAGTACTCACGTAAATTTGGTAACTTCACAACAGCAATCTGCATTCTCCAATCAGAATTTACGACTTACTCAGGCCTCATCGTCTTAAGATTTTGACATTTCCTACGGTCTAGGGGACACTATTGACTATTTATAGAAGTCTTCTAGAATGTTTGCTTGGATGTTATGACAGATATTTACTAATCCACAGTTCAAATCTTTGACTGACTGCAGTCATAAACACAGCCAAGTTACCAGGCGACCATGGGGACTAGGGGGCTTATCTTTTTTCTGGGGTTCAATTTTTTCCGGGGGGCTGCCCCCCCCCCCCCCCCTGTCTACGTGGCTGCAACTTCAAGGGGAATTGTAGTTAGTATACCATACTACGAAACCAACTGAACAGTTGCAGATCTCGATCGCTAATTCCTTCCTTCTCCGTGAAGATTATGAAGTGAAACTATTTATGTCGCAATTAATGTCACACCTTTCAGAGCCCTTTGCCTGTAATTACTAATTGTGCACAGATGCACAATTACAAGGTCTTGTAATCTATTTATATAACAACTGGAACCATAGGATGTGTACCATGACAAAAGACACACTTTTATCAGATACCGGTTAATAAGACTAATTAATTGGATGAACTTCTTTTAAATATTTTAAATCGGTCACCTCAAATTTAGCATATGACAATCTGACAAATTCGATTAACTGATCAGGGATTCACCAATTTAATTAATCATCGTAGCTGTTACAATTAATTCGCTTATCAAGTGAACACATGAGAATAAAACCCGGAGATTAACAATTCATTAGCTATCCTAGTCTCAACACAATTCTATGGACTCAAGATAGATTTCCACCTAATTGGTAACCCGAGCATGTAGAAAGACATTACAAGGTCGGAAGATGTCAATATTGAGGATGCTACAAGAGTCAGTTGTCATATGTTTCTAGACCTCGGTGTAGTTTGGCACACCAATGTTAAAGTTGTTTCGTGACCATCTGACTTCAGATCCATTAAGTGTGACACTTTACATTAAGTGTGACACTTTACATTAAGTGTGAAACTTTACATTAAGTGTGACACTTTACATTAAGTGTGACACTTTACATTAAGTGTGACACTTTACATTAAGTGTGACACTTTACATTAAGTGTGACACTTTACATTAAGTGTGACACTTTACATTAAGTGTGACACTTTACATTAAGTGTGACACTTTTCATTAAGTGTGACACTTTACATTAAGTGTGACACTTTACATTAAGTGTGACCCTTTAGAGCTCTACGGTAAACTTATTCAAACAAATATATGTGATTTAGCTGAATCTTTCAATCATACTACAGGCCCTGTAGTACAGTGTGTTTCAAAAGTCTTGCAAGGATGTTCTTTTTGGATAACTTTTAATCCATTTGTCTGAACTTCATTCTGTAAAAAGTTATTGGTAGTTCTAAAGTTGAATGGTGACTTCTTAAGTTTTTACGTTACCATGGTCCATGACCACCATAGCAACCGCAATCAGTCCCCTAGCAACCGAGGTAAATTTCTGTCATTTTTTCTCTTATCGTATTCGCTAAGCAAGCTAAACATCTGTGTGGTACATTATTAATAATAAGTTAACATACTCCTCAGACCGAGCACAAAAGATGAACGACTAGAAGAATAACGGTAAAACACAAAACAAAATAGATTAGCAATTACTGATCGGAATAACAACAACATGCAACCGTGAGACTTGAGAGCAACCGTAAGATATATAACAAACTTAGTAATGTCGGAGATGTCAGGGTTTGCTTGAACATCCTAGACAACAGAACAACACAGCAAGCATATCATGAATGCGGAAGTAGCAAGATCAGGTCGCTAGTCTGTGGACTAGTTTGTAAATAATAGCAACAGATCTTGCCAACAAAATACCACAACTTCAACCACCCAATCAAATCTATTTCCACTCATTACTAAATCTATTTTCACTAAATCGACCTTACGCATGTCCACCAGTTCCCATATTAATTTTGCCTACAGTAAACTTCACCTCATAGCAACTGTTAGTGCACGGAGCGGCATTATTATTATTAAATAAAAATTACAATTAATACACGTGACTTATGGTGTGGAGAGACGTTATTCTGTGCCGGCTGACACGGGCCCCTGGCTAGCAGGGACAGTGAGTAATACATGTAGGTGGTAATCCTGCGTCGTCATTACATGAGCGTGGTGACCTGGCAACCAATCAAATACTCAAATAACTGTCACGTGGTTACCTGGCAACCAATCAAATACTCAAATAACTGTCACGTGTCAAAACAAAATTTACATCACTTTCTAATCACCTCCTAATCATGAGTCAAGCTTATTACCATTTATAACCCGTTCTGTGAACCACCCATAACCAATTAGGTCTTTAACCAGCCATGGTCCAGAATAACGTTGGGAATTCTACACCTTGCCTAAAGAAGGAAGAGACTAATTTACAAGGTCTACCTTTCCTAATATATCTGACAGAATGACATCAAGTTTAATGATACGTTCTGTAATTAACTTTTGGCCGCTACCCAGGATAATTACGTCAAAAGGATGTAATTATGAAGGTAGGTACGTAGAGCTCCCAAGATACTCAGCTTCATATTACATGGTCTGCTGAACCAGTTTACAATACAAAACTGGTCAAAATGCCAGGGATAAATATTATTACAATCACCCCAAATCACTGGCAACAGCCCAAAATAAACAGTAACTGAAAAACAACTGAAAAATTGTTAGACTTTTATAACGTTTTTCTACGTTACGTTATTCTATGACATCACGATGAGGAGTTCAAGGCGCGATTCCGCGATTTAATTGCATTGTACTTAGCTTACACGATTTTAATTGTGTTGTTTTTTACACACAATTATATAATTAGTAGCTACGTCATTTTAATTTTACTGTACTTCGACACAGAATTATATAAGTAGTAGTACCCTGCGTGAATTTAATTGTTTCCCGCTTAGATTACACGATTTTAATGTGTCTTTTTTTACACACAATTATACAATTAGCTTCCGCGATTTCAGTTGTATAACTTTAGAACTTTGAAGTACCTCAGCGTCATACATTGTTGGTTTATTTATTTACAATGTGCTTTAACTAACAAAAGAGTACCTTTTCGGACAATCAAAACTTCGAAATTGTGACAATCTTTAACAATAAGCTTGGCAAGTTGATAATCGTCAGAGTCAAGCTTAATTATAACTAACCAAGAACTACTTATAGATAATGTGATTACAATATACAGATAAACGGCTAGTGGAAAATGTAGACTTTTTGGGCAACACCCGGATGTTTGATTTGGAGGATTTGTTAATACGTTTACTATGTAAAATTGTACAAGTTTTAGAGCTATAACAAATCTATCTATGGTACAAAATTTATTTAATACAACGCTAAACAAATAAACAACTGGACATGAAAACAACAGAACATTAACTTAACAAAAACAAAACAGCAATCAAGAAAAAGACCTGATTGAAACCTAACGAAACCTAAAATTCTTACCACTTCTAACCATCTTTACTTTTTTACAAAAATGTGGATGGAAAAATTGACTGACCGACAGAGTTGGTTGAAGTCTCCTTTCCCTGCTGGTGGAACCTGTAATGTCTGGTAACAGTACCGTGAGCAGCCTCCGCTTCAATAGTCTTACCGTCCGGGCAAACCAGCACACTGGTCATCATTCCTAGGGAACCGAAGCCCTGCGAGACAATCACTGTTAATAGTGAAACAACCACTCAGAAATAATGGAATATTCAAGTCTAGGTGCCTGTAGAATTAAGGTCACTCACTACATGGCCACTACCTGGCTACAACCACTCAGAAATGATGGCATAACTCAGTACCGGCGCCCGACCGCTCAATCCAGAACAAAACACCATGGTCACAGGCCACTACCGGGTTACTACCTGATTATCACCAGGTTATCACCAGGTTATCACCAGGTTATTACCAGGTTATTACCAGGTACCTAACTATCTGACTACCAACCTGAGCGACGGAATCACTCTGCACATCTCCATCGTAGTTCTTACAGGCCCACACGTAACCACCCTCTGTCTTCATGGCAAAGGCCACCATGTCGTCTATAAGCCTGTGTTCGTACCAGATGTTCTTTGCTTTGAACTGATCTTCGTAGTGTCTGATAAGACGGGTTGGTAAATTTAACATTCCGTGTTTTAAAAATTCTATTTGGTTTATTTTTTCGACTCGAGGTGCAACTATAATACATTTCAATATCCATAGGCAGTGCCTTGTGTTCAAATTATATGTCCACAATATGAGGGTTAACTGAGATCAGCTTCGTAATTAAAATTATTGTCTAAAGCCAGTTAATTAGTAAATACAAAAATATAACAGAGCAAGCAATAAAGATTAAATTTCGAAGCTCACTTCTCATAGATCTCTTGGAAAACGTCCTTGAATTTGCCATCGTAAGCCTTGAGAATGGTATTCTTAGTACTGAGATAGAGTGGCTGTCCTTTGTCAAGTGCATATGTCATGGAACTGTGAGCGAAGTCACGGATTGATTTGGTGGTGTTGTACATCGCCATGGCAACGCCGCCCTCCTCAGGGAAGTTGAACACCTCGTGCACCTGCAAGATGAGGTGTTGTTAAGTTGTTGTTAAGGTGTTGTTAAGGTGTTGTTAACGAATATCTTAAAATAGATATGACGAGAAATTTCATAGACATTTGAATTTTACTGTTGTTCATCTTGCAATCGCATATTTGTATATTACTATATTACATGCATTTTTTCATCGAGCATGTTTCATCGATTCGGTGTCTTTTAATGGCTTTATTGCGTTTTTGTTACATCCATGGCCTCAGTTTTCAGAATTTTTTGCTACATGTTTTTTTACTAAATTTAAAAACTGTTTTCCCATTTATGGCTTTGCTTCTGTTACAAATATATATAAACAAAAGCTCTAAGAAACAGATAGTTAACAAAGTAAACATTTCTGTCCCCTAATCTTTCTCAAACAAAAGTCATGCAGTTTGCATACTTCTCCATTTAACTCTACTAGCAGGAACCCGTCTAACCCTAAAGTGGTGTCAAGACTCGAGAGACTAAAATAACTAGCAGGAACCCGTATAATATAACCCTAAACGGTGTCAAGACTCAAAATACTAAAATAATTATTACCTATTTAATTGGCGTTTTTGACACCACTTGGGGGTCCAAATTTTAGGCTCTAAAATCATTATTCCTTGGCCAATTTTTTATTTTTTCATGCTGATTTGAAGGCCATTAAAGCATTTGACCCAGCCAAAAAAGTTCCAGTTGTATATCTTTTACGGTTTTTGCGGAAAGTCACGTTAAAGTTGATGCCGTGGTGTCAGTAAAATGGCACAGATATATATATATATATATATATCGTCTCGCTTTATATATAGTAAGATTCTGAGCAATTAACGTTAAATAGTTCGAATCACATAAATTATTCAACGATAATTTTCGAACACTAAGGTCTTGTAGAATCAGTGAGAAAAGGTTTGACTGCGGTTTCCACGCCGCCCTTGAAGCTGTAAGGTGTTAACAGCAAAAACAAGCGACGAATAGGCTGGACCATCTGTAGGCCCACGCAGTACATGTCCGAGCATCCTCCACCGACTACGAGCCACTTTAGCTGACAATGGTTCGCTATTGCAGCGTTTATACAAGTTCTTGTTGGAAATGATTTGAGGGTATTTGTAATTCAAAATTGATCGCAGATGACGTCTGTGAGCAATATCTAGTTTTTTTAAATTTGTTACAAAAGGAAACAAAATTCGAAGGCAGAGGAAATAAATTTGAAACATGTGCGTACAATGATTTTACCATAATTTAAAAAATAGTAAAATCGAACGAAACAAAAATTCCATAACTGCTGATCTAAGTTGAAACGTTAACAAAATTGCCCTGGAAGACAGTTAATCGCTCATAAATAATCACAGTCAAGCTATCCATCTAACATCAATCTAACAGTCAGTCCATCCAGCAGCGACCCAGCTAACCCTGAAGTTCTCCGCCAAATCCTCTGTAGGACGTTGTGTTCCCACCGGAGGGTTAACGAAACTGTAGAGCATCACGGTGAAGCTGTGTGCAGAGGTTTGTGGAGCTAGCACAGAGCTGATCACGAAGCTGGGAGAGGATTTATTTGTTAGCTTCTTCAAATGGAGTAGGATCAACACATATCTTTACTATTTCAGTTGTTCGGGATTCACAATTATGTCAAGAACAGCCAAATAACTAGATTTTACACATCTGAAGGATGAAAGAAACTTAATAACCTCACCTCTGATTTGGATTGTTAGCAGCAAGAGATACAGAAACCACTGGAGCAGTAATAAAGTCGCACTCTGTCAGGTCCACAACTCCCAGAAACATCATGTGAGCTCTGTCCTGCTTGTATCCTAGAACATGCCACTGAGATCCAGGTAGAGTCTGACCAAAGCAGGTCCTCCTGCACACACTTTGAGTGGGGCTCAGCTCGGGGAAAGGGACGTTAACAAACACACTATCACTCACCACACTCGAGCAGGTGAGGTAGAAAGTGAGCAGGGTTACCAGGAGGCTGGTAGCTTTGAACATGGTTGGAGGATGGATGGTGAGGAGTGAGGTGCTGGAAGAGTTGGAACGAAATTTATAGGCGAAAATAAGGAGCGGACTTCGTTATGAAACGATGTTGTAAAGAAACGAATTGCGAAATCTGGACTAATACCGAGGGTAATTATATTGTAATACCCGCAATTACAAAAGGCAATTTTCATTTTCGACACATATGCCTAGTGCCGCCCATATTGCATCTTAATATTTGACAACCAGTGACCACCATCAACTTGTCTCTAGTTTCTATAACGATCATTAGTCAATGAATCTAAGAATGGCCATTTGAAGACTTCGCTACAGGTTTTTTTTGACTTCAAGATCAGAATCTCGCAAATTATTTCCTTAGAATGGACATCATTTCAGAAGATTACAGTGCCATATGGTACTGCGGAGGGGGATTAACAAGATTTCTCATGCTTTTCATTGCAACTTGATCGTACAGTAAAAGTTGCAGGGCATCGGGACTAAGTTATCAGAGTCATGATCTAGTGGACCTGAAATTACTTTCGCTCACTAAAATAATTGTTAGAACATGAACTAGTGGTCTTTAAGATAAATTACATCACAGGATCATACATTTTTACTAAAGTTTCAATAATGATTGCAGTCCAATTCAAAAAGCTGGCTGATGCGTTTTGTTACGATTCTAATTGAATACTTTCGGCGATAGAAATAGAATGCACAATTGCTTTCAATTCATGATAAAGTGATAACATTGAGTGCAGACACATGTTCGCATATATCTTGGTGACCGCTCTAATTATAAAACTCCCATCACAATGGCTCAACATGGTCACATGAGATGAGGTCAGCATGAAGGTCATCCTCTTTTTAACACTGCCTTTCATTAAGAGCACGGCGTTGCGAGCAGTTTTAAACTTCCCGATCCATAAAAACATGAAAGTCGTTTAAAGTGTGCCGTCCATGATATTACAGTATATATCACAAATAACAAGAGAGAGTGCCGGCATGATGACTGTTTTGTTAACAGCAAGCATCATGGGTAGTCAGCGAAAAAAGCAAAACAACTCCGCAAGCAATCCTCCGCCGCAAGCTGGACATCAAATGCTCTACATCTATCAACCTCCCTTTGATTGCAATCTCCTTTACAATCAAAAGCTATTTTTTCTTTGAGATAACTCAATCCAGACAGTGTCCGTCCGGGTGGAACGCTTGCGGAGTTGGCCATCTCGCCACACCTCGCAAAAAACATCGCTTGCTACATTTCTTTAACAGTCGCCTGATCAGTGGTCTGAGAGGTCGCGGAGTGTGATGAGTCAGCGGGAGCCGGTGATATACTTTCAGCTCTCTCTCTCTCTCTCTCTTTCAGCTCGTTATAGATTTAACACTTGCTTGCTTAGCGTGATCTTGGTGTTTGATCTTTTATAACGTTGAGGCTCTTTTCTTTCTTGTTAGCGTTGGAAAGCTTATTGTTCAGGGCTTCTTGTGAGTTGCGTAATTGGAAACAAGGAAATATATCCTGGTGAGATAATAGCGATGTTTTCCGGCTGTTTTGACTGCTGTTTGATGTAGGCTACGCTTTTAAACAACCAGAAACCACCAAGATATAAAACATAAATATAATTTCACGTGATCAGGTTATTTAGAAGAGTAGTGAAGTTTGTCTAATGTTTGTATTTACGTTCCACTCTCCCCACACTATTCATTTAATATCGCTGAATTGTTCTCTTTTTACAACGGTAAAACTAAAAAATAATAATATTTCATTGGACATGATAAGACAGTATTTTGTAAACTGCACTCACAACCCCAAGTCTACACTCTAAAGTAACCATGGTAACCGAAGTCCCACAGTAACCATGGTGAACATCACGAGGACCCTGGAGCAGCAGCGCCCTGGCGGGAGAGATCAGATGGTGTGCAGTAAAACACATGAGGACCGTCACGTGATCTACACTAAACCACCCACCAACAGAATACCTCTCAGGTAATGTCCAAACTATTCTCACAAACTAGATCACAAGCATCTTTTAAACTGCCTTGTTTTGTTTCATTCCGTGCTTTTGGCGAACTGCCCGCCTGAAGGATCAGCTTTTTCTACTTCATATTGTGAACATCATAGGCCCATTTTTGGTAAAGTCCAATGGCATATAACTGTACTAAAAAGCGATGCCCACATTGCTCTATCACCAGTTGCATAGAAACGCATGATTGCAAGTCATATAAGTAATTTGTAGCTTATGCCGACGATCAGCTTGTGGTACAATTAGTCGCACAATCACGAGCATGTCACACTGCATCATACTCATCATAGCTATAGCCAGTTAGGCAGCTGCAGGTACCGCACACTTGCCAGCAAGGTTACAGTTGCACACGAACAAGCAAACACGCTACCCAAGGTAGCAAGCAAGCCAGCAAGGTTACAGTTGCACACGAACAAGCAAACACGCTACCCAAGGTAGCAAGCAAGCCAGCATGGTTACACACGAACAAGCAAACACGCTACCCAAGGTATCAAGCAAACATCTTGTAGAAACTTATAGAGCTAGACACCACGTGATAGCTATCTGTCTGGGTATGATAACATTTGGGGTGGAGGAACCAAGGATCTGTGGGACAAAGGACCATTAGACACCACATTGCTGGAGAATGGTGGTGATTATGGTGATGGTCAAATTTTAGGTGATCTTATCATAGTTGATCAAGTCGACAAGCATTGGTTGGACTCGGGTGATAATCATCTCATTTTCTTGTGAGCCGTTTTTTGTTGTTGAAGAAATAAGCCTTAATAATGTTCGTAAGGTTCCAGGGAATCACTTATCGACCACAAGGTTTTTTTTCTGTCATCAATGAAGTAGGAAGAGCGCCCTTAAATTTTCAATATTCGTTTCCATTTTCATCCTGGTCAGTATGAAACGTATCAAGCAGATAGTTTTATACCGATCTTACAAAGTTACAAATAGAAAAGTAAACCTCCGCCCTTCAGATCACGAGGGAGGAACCCTGACCAGCGATCTAACACAGTGCATACCCAGACACCAACTAACGAGTTATCCTACGAGTTTGATCGTGCGTTCCACAACTTCAAGGAGAATGTGAGGCGGACAGTGCCTACCATGCAGACAGCTCAACAGAGACAACACCTCCGAGTCTACCTTCCCACCATCATAGACACCAAACCTAAGTACGGAATACTTTCCATCATAGACACCAAACCTAAGTACGGAATACTTTCCGGGCATTGTGAGAATTTAAACTACAGTGAATTTACGCGATTCGTTCATAGACAAATTTCCATCGTCGCTGAATGTTATATGGTGCCAACGTGTTTCTATAATGTTATTTCTATTATAATTTAGAATTATCACCAGAATCCGAAGATCCCGATCAAGAGCGGACCCAACACTAACAAAGATGTTATCATGCGCACAACGTGGACCACCTAACCCTTTAAGACCTCCCTGCACGTGCAACCACCGCGCAGCTTCACGTGCAGAACCCAAACAACCAGACGACGAAATCATCAAAACCAAACCAGTATCAGTATCGCGAGAATATAACATGACACCACGTGACAATACCACGCGATCAGATCAATACGACAACCACATAACTCCAGTTCTAGCAGTGGCAATACGTCGTAATCCCCAGGACAAGGACCCAATAGTGCAGTTTAACGGGGTGGCGGGACATGACCACACCAGGATATCCTTCACTCCTTTTGTACGTCACATCAGCACCCAGACATCCAAGTCTTATGTCCATGTTGAGTTTGAGATCCCGGATGAAATATGAAAGGTCGCGTTTCGAAATGAGTTATCAAAATGAAGAAACGTTGTTTTACTTTTAGCTGAGGCACGTTTTGCTTCTGTATGTTTTTTATTCGAGAGTGAAACTTCCTAAGAATTAGCGATGAGAGTTGAGAAAGAGACCGTGACCAACAATGCTAGACTGAATTTGACAAGGGTGATATAATGCTCCCAATTGATGATATTTTAGATGATAAGTTTTAAAATCTTGAGGAGTGTCCTTTTTTATCGTTGATGTTTGTAGTTTATTTTGAAGTTGGGAGAAAACGAATTTCATATTGCAAATTTCGGGAAAAAGCTTAATGGATGTTTTGATTTTATACTGTTACGTTTCAAAATCATCGATAAAACAACTGTTTTCATTCTTTACATTCCTCAAAAACTATCCTAAGATTTAAGAACTAACCCCTTTCAAACTATCACCTATTTATTTACTTATCCCCTATTATTCCCAATTGCATTAAAACATGATACACAAACAACCAACAAAGAATCCGAAAACACGTGGTTAAAAAAGCAGTACATACCTGAAAACGTGTGGTTAAAAAAGCAGCACATACCTGAGGTTCCCCTCCCTCGGGAGTGTAAATGAGTTGCAGTGTACCTGGTCCTGGTGTCTTGATATCTACCGCTTTGTACTGCGGAGGGGTTCTTAATTAAGCAGTTACATTCGAGTAACAGTCATTCAAAATGTACAGTTCTTATTTGATTTTTCTGATTAATTAGCTTGCCCATGCCACGCACTTATACAAGTTTACGCAATGTACTTTGTACACGATATATGATGTACAATGTACAATGTAAGTATGAAGTCACACGTACCTGATCTCCGTAAGCATGTCTACCAATAACAATAGGTTTGATCCAGCCGGGAACTAGTCTAGGTACGTTCTTACAGATGATAGCCTCTCTGAAGACGGTTCCGCCCAGGATGTTACGGATTGTTCCGTTCGGAGATCTCCACATCTTCTTTAGACCGAACTCTGGGTTGATGATCGTGTTGAGAGAGAATATTAAACTTTATCTTTTAACGGAAAATAATAAATAAACATTTGGGATGAAATGGAGGTATTGAGTTTATCAACATCAATTCTTCGCCATACCGAGATATAATGGATAGGTTGTATAATGTATAATGTATAATGTATAATATATAATGTATAATGTATAATGTAGAATGTATAATGTATGAATACCATATTCTTTAACTTTAATTATCCAAGAAATTAGATAAGAAACGTGTTGATATTAGATGAAGTATGAACATACCCTCAACTCTATACCCTCTATATAATGTATAATGTATAATGTATAATGTATGAATACCATATTCTTTAACTTTAATTATCCAATAAATTAGATAAGAAACGTGTTGATATTAGATGAACATACCCTCAACTATGTATAATGTATAATGTATAATGTATAATGTATAATGTATAATGTATAATGTATAATGTATAATGTATATTAGATGAACATACCCTCAACTCGTTTCTCATCAGGAGTGATGGTCGCGCACTTTATTCCAACATTGTACTTCTTGATGGCGTTGGCTGCATCCACCGTAACTGAAACAAGTTTAACTTATGAGCACCTACAAAGATGAAATTTAGTAATACATGAAATCAAACAAGAACCAAAAAAGTTCAGACGCATAGAAATTGCTATAATAAGGTATCAAAGGTATCAAGTAAAGGGTAGGTAATAAGACTACAGGCCATATTATGGCGAAGTGCGTTATAGACAAAGAAGAGCTAGCTTGCACATAATGGAACTCTAGTGATCTTTCTAGTGCTTAGTCGTTCACATTAGCAACTAACATTCTTTAATTGATCGTTTTGATGGACAGTTAATCAGATATAGTGATTCCGGTCAAGCTCTATCCTCACTGGCAATCAGAAGAGGGAGCGGTATATCATCATATAACTGTGCAGAATTAGTGGTCAGAATAGTACATTAATTATTTTAAGAAATATTTCCTTGTGTTTCAAGTTGATTTGTTCAGTATATTTTGCGGTAGAAATCCTTATTGATACTAAATGCGTTATATGTATGATAGATTAAATATGCAAAAGAAATACAATACAAATAATATCCTGGAACGGTACGTGTCCTATATTTGAATTACCTCCAGATATTCCCAAAATATGAAAATATTTATCAATAAAACATCATGTGATATTTGCTGAAACCTAATTTGTAGCCTAGTGCTGCATCATATCTGCACAAACTACAAAAAAGGGCTGCCAAAATTTGAGTGGGTTTGAATTAGTCAATCAGATGATTAAATTTTCTTTTTGCCTAAAATTTGAAAAGATAAGCACCTGACTTCGGCTTGAAACACGTCCACAGTCAATATCATTATCAGAACAATTCGATACAACTTCTATCTTGATTCACGTCACTTTACAATTTCTATCTTGTGTTGTTATGGTGACAATATTCACGTCACTTTTCTGACTTGGAACTAAACAGGTGATATTATTTTTGGGTTTTGTTCACTGAGGAGCTCAATTATGAAGACGCGGATTGTTCTGCTTGCTTCCTTTTTAATCCTTGGCGCTGAAGCCGCAGGTAACGTTTTTATTTAAATACACTGTTAATATTGATCTGCAATTATCAATCTCCACTCGATCATATCGTTATCAACTAAGGATGATGAAATTGTATTTTCAGGTTCTGGGTTCCAGTTGGTGGACGCAATGAATAACCCTGTTATTGGACAAGACGTGGGACTACTGCTCTATATCAGCGGGACAGTTTGTGATGATTTCTTTAATGACATCGCAGCTAATGCTATCTGTATAGAACTGGGATTTAATTACGCGAAGGGCTGGAGTTTTGGTATGAACTGGCCAAATCTTCAAAACCGTTTGTTCACCTCTCTAGATGACGTTCAATGTCCTTCTCCAAGTTGGCCTTCTTGTACTTACATCCTTACACCGAACTGCGCGCACACAGAGGATGTGTTCTTAACATGTGGCTGTTCCTACACGTGCCCTCCTGGAAAATACCAAAGTGTTTGCACGTGTTACTACTGCCCCTCAGATAGTTACAAGTCCACTACAGGTACTCAAACTGCCTGTACCCCCTGCCCAGGGACAAGCAGATCGCAACCGGGCTCAAGTTATTGCTCCTGTGATGCGGGCATGTTTTGGAGCCAGGCAAGATTACAGTGTGAGAGCTGTGCATATTATGGTTCTGTAAGTCAAGAAGGTTCTCTTCAGTGCTTGGCGTGTCCCTCGGGCTCAAGTGTCATTGACCAAGGAACCTCGTGCAGTTGTCCAGATGGTATGGCTTGGAGTTGGACTGATCAGTTGCAAGGCTCGTGTAAATCGTGTTTACAAGGTACATATAAAAACACCAACACACCATCCTGTACTGTTTGTCCTTCAGGAACATCTTCACAAGTGGGGTCTGATCATTGCATATGCCCAGCAGGAACATTCTGGAATGTAAACACCTGTCAGGATTGTGCTGATGGAACTGTCAGCCAAAGTGGGGCATCTCAATGTTTATCATGTCCTAGCGGATCAAAGTCGTTAGAAGCAACATCTTGTGCCTGTCCTGAAGGCATGACCTGGACGTGGAATGAGATTGGTGAAGGATCTTGTGAACTCTGTCAGATAGGAACCTATAGGAGTAACAACATGACATCTTGTTCTGGCTGCCCACTCGACACTACTTCCACTTTAGGTTCCGACCACTGTTCTTGCCTTGCTGGAATGTTCTGGAACGAAACAAGCTGTCACAACTGCTCCGACGGAATGGTGACCTACGATGGAGCTCTTGATTGCCTGTCATGTCCCAATGGATCAGTTGCCTTGTTTGGAGGATCGGCTTGTTCTTGTCAAAATGGTGAGATGTGGGATTGGGATGAAAATCGTAATGGTTCTTGTAAACTATGTCAGCCTGGAACATTCAATAACGACCCGATGGCATCTTGCCAAGTCTGCCCACTAGATTCTACTTCATATGCTGGTTATGACCACTGTTTATGCCCAGCAGGGACATTCTGGAATGAAACAATTTGTCAAGATTGTGCGAATGGAACTATCAGCCAAAGTGGGGCATCTCAATGTTCATCATGTCCTAGCGGATCAAAGTCGTTAGAAGCAACATCTTGTGCCTGTCCTGAAGGCATGACCTGGGCGTGGAATGAGATTGGTGTAGGGTCATGTGAACTTTGTCAGATAGGAACCTATAAGAGTGACAACATGACATCTTGCTCTAGCTGCCCACTCGACACTACCTCTACTTTAGATTCCAGCTATTGTTCTTGCCTTGCTGGAATGTTCTGGAACAAAACAAGCTGTCACAACTGCTCCGACGGAATGGTGAGCTACGAGGGAGCTCTTGATTGCCTGTCATGTCCCAATGGATCAGTCGCTTTGACTGGAGGATCGGCTTGTTCTTGTCAAAATGGTGAGATGTGGGATTGGGATGCGAATTTTAATGGTTCCTGTAAACCATGTCAGCCTGGAGCATTCAATAATGACCCCATGGTATCTTGCCAAGTCTGCCCACTAGATTCTACTTCATATGCTGGTTCCGATCACTGTCTGTGCAATGCTGGTAAGTTCTGGAACAACACTAGATGTGATGGTTGTGCCAAAGGTTCTGTAAGTCCTCCCGGTGTTCTCAACTGCCTGATTTGTCCTCCCGACTCCAGTCCTAATACAGATAAAACTATCTGCTTGTGCCCCTTTGGGAAGTCTTGGAGTTGGAATGATGGTGGAGAGGGTACCTGCAACCTGGTTTCGCTTAGCCTCATAACTGGTCTTGTCCTGATCTGCGTGTTGGGGGTGCTAGGCTTGATGTCACTAACTCTTGGCATAGTCCTGGCTGTGGTCTTATTATCCCAGAAACAAAGGAGGGTCAAGGATGTGAGGAGCACAACAAATGTAGCGTACGTTGTTCAGGGTGATGTGAAAATTTCATGTAATCAGCAGAGTGGCATGCCATTCTCAGGAAAGGAAAATAAAGCGTACGTTGCTGAAGATGGCGTGGAAACTACGTGTCATCGGCTGAGTGCAAGTGGTATGTCATTCTCAGGAGTAACAAATGTAGCATATATTGCTGGAGATGATGAGGACTTTCCGTTCCCTGAAGAAGATCATCAGATAACTAGTCGGCCTGGTGAGGAAGACTGTGGTGTATCTGAAAGCTCGTTTTCTGGGGCGAGTGACAATATCTATAATATTCCGAGCAAGAAGTAGAAGTATATAATATATATATATATATATATATACTATATCTAGTAGAAGTAGAAGTAGAAGAGATGTTATTGTAAAGGTGAGAAGTTAAATAGACTTTAGACCCATCAATAATTTACGTTATGTGTAGTATAGACGTTTCATTTGTAGGATCTAAATTATAGGCTAGATTCTAGATTTTACTGATCGGCCGCATGGCAGTAGATGTGAGGACGATTGAGATTCTTTTTGTGTTTGTCTTTTCAAGCCTACGAGTGTCAACTTCAGCATAAGCGAGGAGAAAAGGATGTTGTTTAGAAACTAAATTGAGTCCAAGATTTGAAACTTATTTTAAATTTTGTGAAATTATGATTATCGCTTGATTATGATACAATATTAGGCAAGTTTCCATAAACGATATTTTATTATCGGCGCCAATAATCGCTCATTGGGCGCTTTCTCGGCGCTTTTTTAAAAAAAACCCGTTTACAATCGCTTTTTTTACGATTATAAACGGTTCAAAAAAAATCGCTTATAATCGACTATAATTGATGTCATAATTCAAAAAAGCGCTTTTTTTAATTTAAAAGCGCTTATAAGCGCTTTTAAGCGCTTACTAGCGTCGCTGAGCGATTTTAAAGCGGTTTTCCAGTAGGATTGGCGCCAAAAACGGGTGGATAAGCGGTTGGCCGGATAAGCGATTCGTAGGCGCTTTTTTGAACCATTTATAAGCGATTATAAGCGCTTATAATTGGGGTGCAATTTAGCTGTCTGTAAAGCGCAAATAAAGCGCTTATAAGCGCTTTTAAAATTGAGTCAGGAAAACGCTATATTACATCTTATAACCGCTTATGATCGATTATAAGCGTTTTTTTAGAAATCGCTTATTACGGCTAATTCATCGCTATTTTACCGCTTTTACCGCTTTTCCTATCATCCATGGCCAGGTGAGCACTGAGCAGGAATTAAAAAGCGCTTATAAGCGATTTTTCGATGCTGCCCCTAACCTGGTCGGAACGGGGTGGTGCCCGGAATTAAAAAGCGCTTATAAGCGATTTCTCAATTCCCCATTACCTGGTCGGAACTGGAAATCAGAGTGCCCGCTTATAAGTGCTTTTCTGTGCAACCTGGGATGCACCGGCAGAGTCAGGATTTAAAAGCGCTTATAGGCGCTTGTGATCGTTTTTCTACCCCTTTTCCTATCACCCATGGCCTGGTTGGCAGGAATTAGAAAGCGCTTATAAGCACTTTTTCAATGCTGCACCTAACCTGGTCGGAACAGGGGAGTGCCCGGAATTAAAAAGCGCTTATAAGCGATTTCTCAATTATCCTTAACCTGGTCGGAACTGGAAATCAGAGTGCCCGCTCGCGCT